GGATTTTTGGGAATGCTCTTCCAGGATTTTGGGATGAGGGGGTGTGGGAAAAAAAGGGGGAACAAGGAGGGGGCTTCTTTTGGGAAAAGGAGGGGGGGGAAAGGGTGGGAAAAGGAGGGGGGTGGGAGGTTCTGGGTGGATGGACGGGTGGGAGAGAGGCGGAAAAAAAAGCGGGAATGGCTCTTCCTGGGAATTTTGCTTTTGCCAGGAAAAGGCAAAGGGAAGGCGTCGAGCAGCCCCGAGCGGGCCGAGGCCGAGGCCGAGCCCAAACCCCCCAAACTCAGGACCCTGGACGTGTTCTCGGGCTGTGGGGGCCTCTCCGAGGGTTTCCACCAGGCAGGTGGGTCCTGCCGGGCCTCTTCCCACCTTTGTTTGGTTGGTTGGGAATCCTTGGAATGCCGGGAGGGAGGAGGGAGGGAGGGAGAAAAAAAAAAGGATCTCGAGGTGTTCGAGTCCCGACGTTTCCCCTCTCCAGCCCCTTCTCCTCCTTCTCCAACTCCTTTTCCATGTTTTCCAACCCCTTCTCCTCCTTCTCCAAACCCTTTTCCATGTTCTCCAACCCCTTCTCCTCCTTCTCCAAACCCTTTTCCATGTTTTCCAAACCCTTCTCCTCCTTCTCCAACCCCTTTTCCATGTTCTTCAGCCCCTTTTCCATGTTCTCCAGCCCCTTCTCCTCCTTCTCCAACTCCTTTTCCATGTTCTCCAAACCCTTTTCCTCATTTTCCAGCCCCTTCTCCTCCTTCTCCAGCCCCTTTTCCATGTTTTCCAACCCCTTCTCCTCCTTCTCCAACCCCTTTTCCATGTTCTTCAGCCCCTTTTCCATGTTTTCCAGCCCCTTTTCCTGCTCTCCAGCCCCTTCTCCTCCTTCTCCAAACCCTTTTCCATGTTTTCCAAACCCTTCTCCTCCTACTCCAAACCCTTTTCATGTTCTTCAGACCCTTTTCCATGTTTTCCAGACCCTTTTCCATGTTCTCCAAACCCTTTTCCATGTTCTTCAGACCCTTTTCCATGTTTTCCAAACCCTTTTCCATGTTTTCCAGACCCTTTTCCGTGTTTTCCAACCCCTTTTCCTGCTCTCCAAACCCTTCTCCTGCTCTCCAAACCCTTCTCCTCCTTCTCCAAACCCTTTTCCATGTTTTCCAGACCCTTTTCCATGTTCTCCAACTCCTTTTCTGTGTTCTCCAGACCCTTTTCCATGTTCTCCAGCCCCTTCTCCTCCTTCTCCAAACCCTTTTCCATGTTCTTCAGCCCCTTTTCCATGTTTTCCAGACCCTTTTCCATGTTCTCCAACCCCTTTTCCATGTTCTCCAAACCCTTTTCCTCATTTTCCAAACCCTTCTCCTCCTTCTCCAGACCCTTTTCCATGTTTTCCAAACCCTTCTCCTCCTTCTCCAAACCCTTTTCCATGTTCTTCAGCCCCTTTTCCATGTTTTCCAGCCCCTTTTCCTGCTCTCCAGCCCCTTCTCCTCCTTCTCCAAACCCTTTTCCATGTTTTCCAACCCCTTCTTCTCGTTTTCCAGACCCTTTTCCATGTTTCCCAGACCCTTATCCATGTTTTCCAACCCCTTCTCCTCCTTCTCCAAACCCTTTTCCATGTTCTTCAGCCCCTTTTCCATGTTTTCCAGACCCTTTTCCATGTTTTCCAACCCCTTTTCCTGCTCTCCAACCCCTTCTCCTGCTCTCCAAACCCTTCTCCAAACCCTTCTCCTCGTTCTCCAGCCCCTTCTCCTTGTCCTCCACCCCCTCCTCCTGTTTTCCACCCCCTCCCCAACCCCCTGGCTGACCCCAAACCCCCCAAAATCCCAAATTTTCCCCCCTCCAGGTGTCTCAGAGACCCTGTGGGCGGTGGAGATGTGGGAACCACCGGCAGCTTCCCCGAACCCTCCATCCCCTCCTATCACCCTCCAACCCCTTCCCCACATTCCCCAACCCCCTGGCT